TAGACTTTGATGGCATTGACACAGGGCTCATTGAGCACGAAAGTCGTTACGTTCCAAGGCAGTGTCTAACAGACGCGCAAGCCTTGTTGAGGCAATAATCGATTGGAACTGTGAATATTCTTAATCTTAATGGGGGAGAGTGTAACAGGGTTACACATACCTGGTAACAGGGGTGTGTGTCACACCAGATGGGCGTGGTGTGACCACACCCAAACAAAATCACGGTACGGGGATGGATAGCCGGTAGTTATACATGTATTTAGATTTTACTATACATATTTAGGAAAATCTGTGCATTTAAAAGTAGGCGACTTTGCCGCAGATAAAAGATAAAGTCAGTTTTGAATCTAAAGCGAAGAGTTAATTAGCCTTGGGCTAAGGCTATAATTACTCTTGGAGTAAGCGGGATGCGATCCGCTAAACTCGTACTTGTTCTAAGTATAGTACGAAAGGTTGGTGACCTAATTTACGCTTCCTCAAAGCGCAAAGCTACGGCAGCCACGCTGCATCTGATACGACAAATTACATCCATTATGTAAAAAAACGCTTCTAGTGAATTTAAGGGCAGGCTTGAGTTTGATGGAAGCATCGACAAGTAGCTGATTCATGTGGCAAACGGTAATGATAGGATCGTGGTGGTTATTTATGCTTTTCGTGCGCAAGTCGAACTAGTGACTCCAGACGCTAAAAGAACGGCCTTGCATATTGTAGCGTTGCACGGCCATTCCACATATGTCAAGTTGCTGCTTACAGTCACTGTCAGGCGCAGAACAAGATGCAGGGCATCGGACTACAGCGACACGCAAATTTGTATCTCACCTTATCTCCGTAATTTTTGCTACCGATAAATTGAACGGAATACTTAACAGTTTCGACGGACCGAACAGAGCAGAAAAGATCAGTAGCTTGCACACAGCAATATTCACAGCTTTCTGGCGAGCAGAGATTTTGTTTATTACCTCGGTCCGGAGGTAGGACCGACGGCGGGTCTTTAAGGACGACGTCTTGGAACACCTATACCAAAGGAAAATACGAATCTGAAGGATCATCCAGGATCGACGATCCACTTCGTACGTTCAGCACCTTCTTAGTGGCCCCCAGGACAGCTTCATTCAGAAGCGACGACAATTTAATCTTCTCGTTCGGATACACTGGAAAAGCTGTAATCAGTGCTGCTAATATTGATCGTGAGCAGACTCCATTGCACAAATAAAATTGATTTGATTCAGAATTGGCAGTAGCCAACGCGCTAATTGATGCTATCAATGCTGACAGTCAGATTGCGCTTTCACAAGCCTGCCTTGATGGTCGACTGGAAATCGTTCGTCTTCTTGTAAATACTAAAGCTAACTCTTGTTATCAGATCAATTAAAGCGAAAATCCTCACACTGATTATCTGCAAATTGTAGAGATCGACAGCTTTTTCGCGGTATCATCGCGAGAGGAGTCGATGTAAATGCCAAGTCGATTAAAATTCGATACACCCGAGCAATTTGCGGCAATGAAGCGCGACGATGTTGCCATTTGAATTTTGCTGTTGACACGGTGCATTCGTCAATGCAACAAACGAAGAAAATTGAGTGTTGTGTACTTAGCCGGAAAATGGCGTCACCGCCGTGTCAAGGTTCTTGTTCGCCTAGCAGAGCAGCCAGATAAATGGACATACTGGCGTCCACATAAACTACAATTCAACATCACCCTCCCCTTGCCAAGCTCAATTTCGTAAAGTGAGATACCATGCACGTAGTTCTTCTAAGTATCTGCTAAGTGACCAAGCCGACTTTATTGTGATTTGTGCGACGTTGACACCGTGACCGCTTGCTGTCGATAAATTTTCGAGTAACACAAACAACAATAGTAACGAGACCAACATTTTTAAACCGTCAGTAGAATGTAAGCTGTAGCAGCTCTAGTAAAATACAAAGCAATTCATGGGCCAGCGCTCGCCATCAAAACCCGCTGTGTTGGCTCAAGACTGTTAATGGTAGTGATGTACTCAAACTTGCAAATCGTTTAAGATTAAACTCCCGTTCGGTTCTATCTTCGAGATATCTCGGTCGTAGAAATGGTAGTGCCAGCATTATTGTCATCAAGAGCAAAGACTCTATCAAGCCAGCGTAGAACACACGAGAATTACTAGAAAAACTTTCTTGCTGTCGGGGCTGACCCGCAAAGTAAATATCAAAGAGAGGAAATGACAAGTGCAATGTTGCTCCATAAAAGTTCAAAAGCACTATTCAATTTCAATTGGTGTGAAGCTTTGACATAATACTGCGAATCGCAAATACAGGATGCCAGCACCCCGTAAAACTTCTTCACTGTCATCACAACTTTTTTTGATATTATTAGCTGGATGGTTCTGGAAAGATAAACCTAGTGCTCGAGCTAGTGATCCCACCAGTGTTTGATTTTCAGAAAGAACAAGTGGCACGTCTAGTACATACTCTCCGGCGACCAGAGGGATCGGTATAGCTGCAGTTCCACCTGTTCAACATCTTTTGTGATCAGTCAAAGAAAAAAAAATGTGCCGGAACTTACATAAGGTATTAGAATAATTAGCGTCTAAGCTCCACACCTACAGAGGTCAAAGTTTAGCTTTCAATCTACAAAGTACGCCGAAGTCTGATCTTTTGATACCTGAAATTCAAATCGAGGCCAACACTCCCACACGTCTTCATTTGGAATAGCGAAATGTAGATCAATAGGATGTGCCCATACAGTGTTCATTTTAGACAATAGAATTTTATTTTCGTTTTGGCGGTAAAGATCTGGCATGGCAAGACTGCCACCATTTGAAGCAGCGTGAACCTGAGTCTGACCTCGCGTCTCTCCTTGAATAATTCTCCAAGAACCATTCTTACTAAAATCATTCACAACAACACGCCACTTACAGAAGTAATTTAATTGAGTTGAACGATGCAATGATAGTAGACCAAATATATGAGGGACAGAAAATGCTTCGTTTCCGTCGAAAGAAGAGAGACAAGAGGCTCCCATGAGTTCGCCGATTAGATGCAACGATGGCATTGCAGGAATGCGACGCTTTGTTCAAGTTTGGATGAAGATATCACATGTAATATGAATAGTCGATTGATCACATGCAGGACGAGAGAAACTGAAATTGAAAGGTCGTTCGGTTTGCAAGTCTAACTGCTTAGTAGGGGTACGAGATCGCCTCCCCGTCTTTCAGCTGTAACACATGTCGGCATCCCAACCAATGGATCTTCCAACTCAACATCACTATATCCAGATCTTCCGTCGCTTCTTCTAATCTCGTCAACTCCTGTGCCAGTCCACATGGTGTAAAAGTCCTCGTTTCGTTTTGATGCTAAAATAAGCAAGCCCAAAGTGGTCGGCACGAGATACATAAGTGCTGGTTGACCCACACTCGTAATCGTCACCGCCAAATTTGCAAGTCCAAGACCGACGGCGTACCCAACGGCCACAATCCAAAAGTAAGTTGTGTTACCCTGATTATAATCGTAACGTAGCGTGTATGAAAGAAGCAGACCGGGCAATATGATGTCGCCAAGGCCAAGCATGCTGACACCATCGACCCAATCGAGTACACGTGGAAGCAAAAGAAGCATCGGCATCGGCTCTGGATCTACACATGTCGCGTATTTTGGATAACGCTCGCAGTAGTCAATACCCGGGTAATCACTTTTCGTGTACGCCGCAGGTCCGCCAGTTGCTACGTCTACCATGACACTTGAACCAAAAAATATGGGCGACAGAAACACAAAAAAGACGTCGTAACAGAACGCTAGTGTGAGAAGCAAAGTGGCAACTTTAAGATTTGGAAGCTGAACGGTTCGCAAGAACAGGAAACATAGGGCAATGCCCATAATGTCTTGTAATACCCAATACGTGCGTCGGTGCAGATACCACACCACGGCAACTACAGTGCTGGGTATTATACCAAGTATTTCCGACAAACGTGCAGTCTCACCAAGCAAGACAATATTTATCTCGCGAGAATTTGAGCTTGGGATTAGCCAACCTATAGCAGGCGCTCCTACTACCTGGGTTAGCGCAGCCGCGCCAGATGCCGCGAAAAGCACCGGAATTGCACCACCTATTCTCACGTAGTAGAGTATAGTTAAAAACACCCCGGCTAAAGCCATGAAGCCCAACGCATGTCTCACATCCAATTCAAATATGTCATCGCGCGTTCTACTCTCATTCCGAGCGTTCTGGTCATCACGCACCTTGTACTGATCACAAGCTGTATCACAAGTATCAAGACTTTGCAGCGAGCTGTTTGAGTAAAACGCTGCTCCAAGTGCAGTTGCAACGCCCATCGCCCAAATCAGCAACGTCGACACGTCGATCAATGGCAATTCCCGTCTATATGTTTGTACGATTAAAGATGTCGAAAACTTGTCGATAGCTTTTTGTAGCTTCTGTCCATCCGAAATCGTCACATACACGACAGGAATCGCAAGTTCTTTCACCATCGATTTATTCGTAGCACCCATCAGCACCACTGTATCCCACATACAGCAAACCTGATATTTTATTTCACTCTCAAGCATTACCGTGTGACCTGTGAGCACACACGATCCAGATGAGCATCTTTGGTCACCGTTACACTGCTTCGCATCTGTCAGCCACACAGGCGTTGCAAGTTTGTCCACAAAAGCTTCTCCTTTGCTGCAGTCGTATTCGAACGCTGGCTTTTCCATCACCGCCAAGCTGGTAGCTGTGAATTCAGTACTCTTCACATCGAGCAGTGTACTGACGTTCGTAGTATTGTGACTGACAATAGCTTCGTATACAGCTCTTTTAGTGCCTCTCACAATCAACCCCGTGGCGCCAGCAGCTTGGGCTTCAAGCGCTTTTTTTACAAACGAGCAATTACCGCGATCCACAAGAGCCACAGCACCTATTACTGATTTTACAGCATCACCTTCAATGCGATATGATGCGCAACCATCAATGTTCGATTCCGCCAATTGAACCAGTGATTTCCATTGCGAGTCGTCACGTTCAGGCAGCGGCACGCCCCATCCAGCAATAGAGCTGGGCGAGCAAAGCTGATCAGCAATTACTTGAGGACTATGTGACGATTGAGGATGCAAGTCCAGCGATATGATACCTGTAGGTAGCACGCTGAGAACAGAGGGGAGCGCCAGTACAAGCACTACCAGGCAGTTGTACCTCCTCATGGTCAAATTCAAACTATGTTTGGACCACATAATGTTATATTAACTTAGATATTTATAAATATACAAGTTGAAGTAGACTTACTTTGACTTGTGATGTTACGATCACCTGCGTCAGTCAAGAAAAATGACAAGCAGAAGATGTTGCAGAAGCGGATTGCACTTAGTGCAAGTATTTCTGCAGACGCATTGCTGTATCAAGAGGATCAGCTCCATGCTCGTCGATGTCCGGTTGGAAACTCTACCACTGACTTGTCCCCTGTAGCTAACGAAAAGATTGCAACGTCCGTGTTGCCTACTTCTTCAGCAGAATTAGGACCGCTGTCGATTCCTCGACAACGTGATCAAGCCAAAATTACTTCATTTTCACCTAAAAAGCTACCGTTATCAGTGTCAACATCCCAATCATTAGAAAATTATGCTGAGAGGCTGGAACAGGCTGAGAATACAGAGTTGTTTACGTACACGAGTGCATTGTGCTACCGAGTCACAGGTCGATATCTACCACGAGCTTTGCTTCAAAGCGATCCGAAGGCCCAAGAACGTGAGATTGAGCGAATCCAACGTGATCCTGAGATTTTACGTGCGATTGACTCTGTGCGAGCCTTGTCTGCTCAATTTAAAGATGTGGCGCAGACTACAATGGGTCATCGCAAAGAACTCGGACATCGCCTATTTCGGATTGAAGAGAGTTATTTGAAGCTATTTGAAAAGCTTTTAGAGCTATCGTTGCGGCTTTATTGGGATTACGAGTCACGAACGGAAGCACAACGAAAAGAGGATCGAGCAAGCATTTTGTGTTGGCGTGATAAATATGAGAGAAAATGCCAAGAGCTCGTGAAAGAAAGCAACAAGCTGGCAGCACGAGATATTATTCATCGCGCTCGAGAAATCGAGCTGCAAGACTTGCAAGGCCAAATGAGAGATATCAAAAGTGATGTGAAAGACCAACGAGAGCTGGAGGCACAAATTAGTCAGCTCAAAAATGATATGCTAACGCAGCGAATGCTGGAGCAAAAGCTGCGTGATGAAAATGATCAAGTGACTGTAAGTTTCTTACTCAAAACGCTAGATATCATGAGACTGGATGTGATGATTGACTGAAACATAATTTTTATAGAATGCGCGCGATGAAATAGTCGAGTATCAAAAACAATCACAAAAAGATGTAGGCTTGTTGATTTTTGTTTGGTGATCAAATCTGGAAGTTAAGCTATGGATCGTGCAATTTAGCTTCAAATGAAACATAAGCTACTTATCCAAGACCTTAGGTATGTATACGGAACACGATTTTGATGCTTAAGTGGTCAAAACATACCCGCTGATATAAACTGCCATTAGGCGTGATATTCGAGAAAAAGACGCCTTTATTAGCAAACAGATTGGTGAGCTTCGCCTTTTGAAAGAGATTGTTCCAGTGCCTCCTGTATTCTATGAATCTCATTCATCGCAGACAGAAGTTGACGATGACGGATTGTGGAATGTCCAGGTACGAGGTCTTTAACTTATTACAAAGGCATCTGACTGATACGGGTCAACTGTTTGAAGGACGGGATCCCATGCTTTGTATCGAAGAGTGTGATGCATCGCTCAATGTGGCGCCGATTTAGCGCTTTCGTTGCTTGTAAGAATTGCAAGGGTCGACCCCTTCCAAAGGCTGCGAGAATGAGTACTTACAAACGAGATTTGCAAGATGTTGATAGGGAGGTAATGAGGCTTAGTTGTATTCAAGATTAATGCGCGTAACTTCCGTCATTCGCATGAACAGGATCTGGACTTGTTGTTTGCTGACTTTGGTAAGAAGCGAACAGAAAAGGCGACAAGACGACTAGAACGTATCGAACAAGAATGGTAATGAACAGATTTGTATGCATTTTGGGATGTTTTGTGCTTATTCTTCGAATTTGCAATGCACGCCACAGGGAATTACCGCGTCACACTGTGTTGTTTCTCTCAAATCTGCCTAAATCGGTTGTTGCTTTTCCACTTTATTCAGCTGAACATGTTATCTCTCAAATTGAGGCCATTTACGACGATAAATTTATATCTGATCGAATAGATGAAGCTGATGGCGTTGCCCGAGAAGACCTGGTAAGTTTGAATCTGAATGCAGAGTTGTCAACAGTCAAATCAGCTTACAAGATATTTGTTGACAGCCCCGCTTTACGTGCGAGTACTTCTTGAAAACACACGGACTAAGACAAAGTGCTGAAGTTGGTCTGTATCGGTTTTTAATATCGGTCAAGAATTTATTTCAGCACAACTCGCATGTTAGGCTCTTTGCCCGCTTATCGAATTTGTTAAAGGTTGACCAAGACGAGATTGCTGAATCACTTCCAACTTCTCTCGACAAAAAGAAGGTAGCCAAGTCAATTTATCTAGAAAACACTAATTCGAAGAATCAAAAGCACTCTACATGCCTCGATCGTAGCTTTCTTCGGGTATTTCTGGAGGCTCGCCATTATTTATTGCGCTCTCCCGCTCGAAAGCCTCGAATAGACAAAACAAGCTTGGAAGAAGAAAGATTCGTTGTTGAACACGTTGTTCAGGTGGAGCCAACAAAACAGTGGGTACCATTAAATCATGCTATTGCAGTGCTTAGATGGTATAGTAGCTGTCTACCGGAGGCAAGCATTTCACATTACTGTCGTCAGGTATGCATTTTTGTAGCTTTATTAATCTGGTTGCTTACAAGCATATTGTAAGAAATAGGTCGAGTATATCACAGCAATATACGACGGTCATACTCTCAAAGAAATTACTGGCAACCGATTGGCAGTTCGCGCGGAGATGAGACGAGTTATGCTGGCTAACGAAAATCTCAAAGAATCGTTTTCTAGTAATAAAATTGGCAATTGTCAACAACGTCCGTCGCCACCGCAAATTGTTGCTGATGTTCACAAAGTACTTTGCCTACTGATGGACGCACTTGAACAACGTCATAAAGTTATAAAGAAGGATTTGACCAGGCTGTTCGATGCGGTAAGAATCTTAATAAGTTGTCGAGCTGGTATCTTCAGTGATTCTGTGGCCTGTAGGCCGACGTTAATCACGACCGTGTGCTAACCCTAGACGAATTTAGTGCGATAATTCGAAAGGGGAAGCCTCATTTTAGCGACAGACGAATCCTGCGCATGTTTCGAGAATCTTTGATGGGAGGAGCTGATCAGTCTTTTGCTCTTTCAATGGAGGCATTTGTGGGTGTTTGCAACGATCACGGTTTAGTATCACTACTTCCTGATGGTCGATTAGTAGACCCGTTCGTCTCACGCTAAGCAGCTTCAAAGAACTTCATGTGTAAGCCTCCAGGGCAAAATGGAGGGACGGCAGTGCAAATATCTGGCGCGTCCGAATCGTTGACGTGTATTTCGGATAAGATATCAGAGGCTTCTCTTCAAAATAAAAGCGATTTGCCAGTCGTAATAGCGCAAGACATAGACGAAGAAGACAACGAAAATGACAATTGAGCTGCAATCAACGTATACGAGTATTTAATTCCGACATCAATTTTTAACTCTATCCTACACACCCAAGCTGCTGTGATGTTTTGAATGAACTCTAAAACGATTCCTTTTTGTGCGCTCGCTGATGTATCGATAGTTTTGTCGGTGGCTACAATGCTTTTTTCGTTAGGCTCTTCTGACAGCTTATGGTAAGGCAAAGTGATCTCAGCGGCATTGTAAAAATAACGATCCGTCACGCGTGTCCATCTGATGGCAGTATGGAGCCACTCGACGTCGGTGCTTATAGGCTGGCGGCGCTTTTACGTAGCGCATAAAATCAGCAGTTGACAGACCCTCGACGCTCTGAATGACTTTAAAGGCAAGCTGGATTTGAAAAACAGCCACCCATCGTGTCACAGTTTACTATTTCTGTTTTGAAATTTACCGCAACGTTGCTATCAGGTAGATCACGCAGATGCACGAAACCCGAGTGTTTGACTGATATATTCCACTTTTTGAGTTGCATGATAATTTCTTCGAAATTATACTTAATGCAATGTCTAAAGTGTTTGATTCGTCAGGGACTCGATGTGTCGAAGAGAATTGTCAACGAGCTGCGATTTCCAACTCTTGCGCCAATAATTCAAAATCAATGCATCTAAATACACGAGTTGTTGCGCAGATACACCGCCTTTTCCATCTAATTTGCCTTCCACATGCTCTGAAATGGATGGATAAGAGGTGGCAGCGGTTTGAACGCTTATGATATTCGTCAGGCTTATTGATTCTGTGACTTCACAATTTTCAGATCGGAGACTCCACCCTCGAGCTTTCGCCCACACAGCGCATGCATTAGACATATCCTTTTTTCGCAAAAGCAACAAAACTAGGTTAAACGTCATGGCAAAACAGTCACGGTATAGCTGCAGTCCTTCACGTAAGATCGAGATGGCAGGATCAACTCCAACGCAGCATGCCATAACAACAGCCAAATTGTTTATAAATTGCGTGTGGCACGACACAAATTCTTCTCGCATTGAACTATTAACGTCAGCAGCAACATTATTTTGTGCCAGTAACCTTTGAAGTTTAGGCTGAACAACCAGCTGAAGATACTCGCAACACTCTGCAACGCGTTCTAAGCACAACAAAGCGTCGGCTTTGTATAAGTGAAGTATTAAATGCGAAACTTCCAAATTGTCGTCGAGATCATACTTCGTTAAGTACTGCTCGCATTTACACAAGGCTAATGATGGAAGTCTACACTGAATGTATACTGGACTGGATTAGTTAAAAAAATCATATCCAGTAAAGCAATACAGAGTCATCTACCTGAAGCAGTACGTAAACAAAGTCTCTTGATGCTTCAAATGCAAATATATTATCTCCACTGCCAAAATATATTTCAAAATGCTGCTTGGACTCAAGCCAACAGCCTGCCAGCCACCAATACAGCAATATATATTAGTGTATTCGCCATGATAAGGCTGTGAGTTTGTTAAAAATGATTGCTTACCATTCTCCATAGCAGCTACAGCCATGTGTCGATGCACCATTGAAGCACTAACACTTTTCGATCGTGAAGGAAGCAAATTTGTCAGGGTTCTCTGGCTGAACAGAGTGTCTGACGCCTTTGTAGCCCCCAAATCAGTCGAGCCCATGTCTTCCATCTGTCGATAAATCTTACTACTGTAGTGCTCGAGTATATGTCCGAACAATGTTTGCTGTGTTTCAAGGTTTCCCATGCGTACCAATAAGAGCCCATAATTAAATATTGACGTGGGCTGCGTGTAATCTATTTCCATCCCACGTTGAAGTATTTTTGACACTGTATGAAGATCCTTTAATTGCAAATACAACAACGCTTGCAACGATAAACAAGCAGCAGGTTCGTAAGCTAATCGAATGCACTTGTCTAGTTCATCTGCTGCATCACTCAGCAGCCCAGTGCGCATCAAAGATACCGCATACCAATAATAAAAAAAACCATCATTTGGATTTAAGCCTCTACACCACGTCACAGCACAACGAAAGCACTCTATTGCACCCAAATCGTCACTGAATTCCACCATTTTCACCATTCCAAGAAGAAATTGCGGCCACTTGGCCAGGTGCTTCGTTGACTTTTGCGCTTGACATAAGTCGCAGCACAAATAGAGCAGCTTTTCCGATTTGCCAGCATTCCCTACTTGGTCGTACGATAACCAGCAAATCGCGAGAAGGACGCACAATTTTGTCATGACAGTAACTCCATTAATCTCGAATTGTGGGGTCTGTGATGTCGACCAGACCGTCTGAAATAGTAGCTTTATCATGTTGCTGAAGTCTCGTCTTTCTTCAGTATGATTCTCGTGTTCAGAACTATTAACGCTTGTGGCTATACTAGCAATTGCTCTTTCCAATATAATCACACGGTTGTGCCACTTGGAACTTATTTTGAGGGGTCGATGCTGCACCAAAAATGTCAGGACTTGGGCTGTGATGTGACAAACTGCGAGTGCACTTGAACACGGTGAAATCGCACACACGCTAGTGTATTGCAAGCTTTTTCTAGCGTTGTCAAGATGACTAATGAGATCGTTTTCTTGAAATTTAGATCCCTGGGCGTTACCTGTGGCATTGCCCACCAGCTGGAGCAAGGTCAACGCGGGCTCCATTGATGATAGTAATTTGATTAATTGCTGTTTGTCGAAAGGTAAAGGTTTTTCTACCGTATTTAAAGCTTAAAGCTGACTTATATTTAATATGCCTTCTCCATCATTTTGTTGTGTGAAAAATGTGTGCGAAAGATGTTTACGAGGAGCGAGCTTCGTAATATTTGACATAATATCATGAGGCCACAGTTCATAAGACAACAACATAGTTGGGCAATTTTAGGTAAAATGCTAATTGACCGTTTTCGCAAATGCATTTTCAGAGATATCAACATTTTTGTACTGGTTTGTTCTATCTCAAATAGCATTCAAGTTTGCGGAGGCCCTCTATAAAGACGGTCATTGCGACCGCTTCGGGGAGAAGATCGGCTGCCATCCCGGCAATGAGAGCTTTCAACCCTTGACCAAAGTCCACCAAATCCTTTTTGCTCTGTTGGGCGGCGAGAACACTCGCAAAAGCTGACGCTTCAGCTCCTTCAGGAGGGGAATGCCGCTTCAACCGAAGCACCGCACGTTAGTGTCCATTCTCGTGCTCGGCTCCCGAGCATAGAGATAGCTAGCGCCACGTGCTGTTGTTCGTTCCAAAGCATGGTTGATGCCATATCCATCTCAGCCTCTCTCACCCAGCGCATGAGGTTCTCTCCATCCTTACCCTCGAGAGTCTTTACACTCACCATGAGCGGCCTGGGTCGGGGGGAGTCATCCGTCGTCGACGGTGGCGTCATGGACGGAAACGACGCCGACAGCTTCTGCTGTAGGTTCTCTAGCACAGCATTTTCTAAAAAACACCTCTAGACGCACGCTTATCGCTTCGGGTCCTTGCGAAGCAATATGTTGCACGCCCTTAGGGCCAAGCAGGGAAATCAGCTTTTTGAGCCCCTCCTGCATGTTCTGGGGCAAATAGGGAAATTGCTCCATCCTCGCAGAAAATCAGTCGTAACGACTCAGGCGTCGATGGACTACTAGACGAGTGCTAACCTGGTATTGCGTGTCGTTTTGCCATTTTGCCGAAATATAGGCAATTTTAGTGTTTTTATGGCATTTTTAGTCAATTTTATGGCATTTTAGTAATAATAAAAACACAAAAATGCAGCGGGGCTACCGTAGCTCTTTGCTTAGAGGAAGCTTACTAAGGTCACCGACCTTACATTCTATACCAGAACCAGTACGAGTGTAGCTGATCGCAATCCGCTACCACCAAAGTACTCAAGAACCTTGACCAAGTTAAAGACGCTTTCCGTCCAAAATTAAGACTGTATTTTTCTGATTTATTTGCGGCAGAGCCGCCTGTATCTTAAACCTTAGGTTTCTGATTAATACAGTAGTACATAATTAATAAGCATAACTACTGGCAGTCCCGCCACGTAGTGGCTTCTTGTTACGGTGTAGCCACACCA